TAGCTATGGCATGCACTTCTGTGCAGGTTACGGACAACAGTTCTTTTGCCTAAAAATGTACTCAGAATTACAGTTAGAGATAAGAAATTACGGGGGTCATCTGGATTTATTTCTGCAGCACCCAGCACACATACAAACTGTGTGAGTTTACACCATTATGCTACTATGTAAAGGAATTTAAACCACATTTTTACCCAGGGAAAAAAAAAAAAAACAAACCAAATGATAACTATTATCCTAATGAATAGCAATTAAAACATCACTGGCAGTATTTGCTAGACACTTTGCAGACCTCCCATTTATTTATACAGGGATCAAAGGAGCTTTACAAATTTAGGACAGCAGAAAAAGATTTTGCAAAGCTCCTCATGTTCAGATCTTCTTTCTAGCCACGTCAGTAATATAGTAAGCATTATTGGAAAGACTAAAAAGGTCAGAACAGCATTGTAAGAGGCAAGAGAGAAAAATGGGAATCTTGTTTATACATCTTCCTGCAAATTCTAACTGCAGCAATCTGGGTTTCAAATTAATTCAGCAACAAAATTCCTATTGATTTTTAGCAGTGGAGGAATGCATTCGCTACATCTTTTGCCACATGGATTTTTTCTAAGCTCAGTAGGGCTGCTCAGAATAATACCAGCTTGCAGGACTGTTTATGTCTTAAACAAAGACATACCATGCTGCAATAATTTGCATTTCATAGCTTTCATGGGGCATATATTGAATTGACCTTGATACCAAGTCACCAAAACAAGTATTTTGTGACCTGTTTTTCATCACTAAATTCACTCTAACATTTCTCTTTGGAAAGGAATGTTAATTTTAAAAGCTTGAATTTGTGATTTTACAAAACAAAAATTAATCAAAGAATATGTACTCATAGTGCTTTTATGTTCCTTCCAGTTTTGGAAACAATGCTTTGCTTTTCAACTCCAGATGGCACTGTGGTGCTTAAGACTCCCAGTCAGGGGACAGTAGATGGATTGCAAAAGCATGCAAGCTCCTGAAAAACAATGGCTTTCTTGTTATAATTGTGAGAAATGAGCTACTAATAGTTTTCCAGTGCAGATGCCCTATTTTACTTTCAGTTCGGTGAAGACTGGGCGAACAAATGGCAGTTCAGATGCCCGAGATACAACTTGTGGAAGAAACGACTCGCTTGTCTGTACTTGCATGAGGTCACACGGGTAGTAGCCCTTGCCTCCACCAGCAAAACCTAATGCAACACACACTGTTGCAGAATGAAGGGAGGTCTGCTGTTGCACAGCTCTTCATATTCACAGTGACTAATTCTTTCTCTGTACAATTGGTAATTCTGCTCATGAAAGTGTATTTTCAAGGACGGCATGCAAACCACTGAAGTAATGAGGTTATCGGTAACTTTTCTAGGGAAACCCATAGACTTTACTGTTTGGAAGACATCCTTTGCCATTTCATGATATTACTTAGACTATTACAAAAATGTCTACCGTAAATAATATTCTTCCTTCATGTTCATCCTTTGAAAACTTAGGAGTAGGACATTCATATATTTGCTTAATTATACACTCATCTACACTGCATCTTTTCTTACATATTAATTCTTCTTGAGGATTCAATCCTCTTAGTTTTTATAGTCTTCTCAACTCTTAATTTTGTAGAAGTCTGGCTGACACCTACATTCTTTTAACCATTCCTAGCTTATACTCTAATTCTCCAATTTTGTGTAGAGTAGTTGCTAAACACTTGTTAACTGACCTATGGACGCAGTTAAAGTTCCCAGCTCCCACTGTGCAATCACTAGACTGTTGCTCAACCAAGTCCGAACAACATCATTGATTCTGTGCATTTCATCTGACAGAATTCTGCAGTTTGCTCCACAGGCCCACGAATTTACCATAGGCCACAATAACCCTTTTGATTCCAAGCAAAACTCAGGGTTTACATGGGTTCATTTGTAGGCTGTTATATTTTTAACCCAAGTAAATCCTTTACCAAAAGCTAAGGAAGCAACTGAAGATACATAAGAAGGGCAGGCTATCTGTCATTCATTTTCCAGCACAGATGACTATTTCATTGCACAGAGTTTATGAAGGAAGCGGAGCTCAAAAGACAAAAAGGAATAAAAGCCAGAGAGATGTGGCTGTTTTAAACAGGCAGGACCTCAAAATAGGCTAGGTTCTCTCAAGCTCCATACAGAATCCTTTTCCAAAGGCATCAAAAATGCACACACACCTGTCCACACACACACAGGGAGCATTCTCAAGTTCCCCCTAGATTTATGAAATATTTGCCGTGTAGGTTCTGCTAAATGACTAGTCATAAAACCACACAAGGCAGAATGTCCTACATTACTAGACAATAACGATGCCTCTGAGGACTGAAAACCTATGTAACACCTGCTTTCGTTCCACAGCTCTTAATTTTCTTCTCCATCCTCAAAGCTGCGTAAGGACAGTGGTGGCCTCTGATGGCATTACAGAGTACATAACTGATATGTTATTGGCAAATGTGACACAATAGATAAGCATTTCTTCCTCTGGAATGTGTTCATGTCCATTCTAGGTCTTCTGAATAAGACTCAGAAAATGTCTTGAAGTCAATTTTTTTTTAAATTCAAAATAAACTTTAATTTAAGAAAACTGTTCCCAAACAAAAATTTATGTACATTATATGTACAATTTTGCTGCTGACTAGGTAATATTTACAATACATGTGATGCAAAATCTTCCCCTTGCATTAGTCACACTTAAATGTCCTCCACTCAGCCTTTAGACTGAAACCAGAGCCAGAGCAGACAAGGGAGAAATTTCTGGGGGCGGAAAAAAAAAAAAAAAAATCTTTTCTGTATAACCATGATATATAAGATTAATTAAAAAACAAACAAACAAACAAACCAATCTAACCTAAGGAACAAACCAAAGCACTATTGTTACGTCATTAGAAAAACAAAATTGGCCGTAGAAAGAATGTACATTTCCTGAAGAGGAAAATTCTCACCACATTCAGAGTGGTGAGAAACTTTATCAGCTTAGTACAACCTATTGTACTAAGATGAACAGAGAGCTGGGTAAAAGCCAGATGACACCTACAATAACAAACAGGGTTTGGCTCAGCAGGCACCAGCATTTTCCTAGTACATATTCTTGTGTCATCCTCTCTGCTGCAGCACTTCGTTCCCCCTTAAACTCAAGGCAGAAGGTGAAGGAGCACGCCAATGAAAATGAAAGCATGCCAGACCAGCATCCCCAAAGCTTTTCTAAAAGATCTACTGCTCCCTTTGCACCCTCTCAAGCTGCAGCCTCTGTTGCAACACTGTGTGCTGGTATTGTGGGAGGAAGATGAGCACTACTCAAAGCACCTTTGGCAACATACTGTTTTTAAAAAAGCTTTTGGGGGTGGAGTATCTCCCCATATCTAATTATGTCAAGCAAAGTATGTTCTAGACACTGTGTTACCAAAGCTGCTGCTCAGCCAGTGAGCAACTGCACACCTACACTCAATTGTCTGGCTGCTGATTCACACTAGTAGCAAGGTGGATCCCTCATACACCTTCACAACTATGTGCTTGCTGGGACAGTTGCAGTGTTAAACTGTTTATGTACTTAAAAGAGACTGCAATTTGTGGGGTTTTTTTGCCTTCACTAGCCATACCATCACATGCTCAGAAAGACATCAAATGTTAACACAAACAGCACATGAGTGGTATCAGCCTCTGATCTATTAAAACAGAATCAGCAACCTTTTGCTTTTCTGACTGAAAAATTTACTGTGGCAGAGGCAGTTGCACCAACTATGTCTGATGTTTTCTGTGGACATTAATTAGATTTACTCTAAACCTGCTGGGAATTAACTTGATGATGTTACAAAACATTATTTGATGTATTTTGCAAAACACAAACAGGAGCCTGCACCTGAGGAAGACTGGAAGTAGTACCTGTAGATAGTACAGCCTTCCAGAACTGAAGCAAGAGAGTTAAACATTTGATGGAATGTCATGGAAACTGGTCTGCACAAAAGAAGTAGCTTCGTGTCCTAACTATTGTCTTGTGGAAACCGATTCTGCCAGTTCCTTTGTGGGCCAACTAGCCCTCTCTTTGCCTGCTGGGGAAAAAGGTGCAGAACTTTCTTCACTAATTTAGGCCTAAACATATCTTTTGATATTTTTTTTTTTTTAAAACAAGTACTACTCTATTGCTGAGCAGCCTCATACTTCACTTTTTGCTTCCACTAAACCTGCTGCCAAATGAGAGCTGGGTACACAGGATGTGGCTTAATATTAAAATGCAGAAGCAGCAGGATCCCAAACAACCACATATGCTGGGGAATCAGAGTCCTTTCACTCTCTTTTCAGCTTTCAGAACAAAGCAGCAGTGTTTGAGATCACATAAAATTTCAAGCCAGTTAAAACTGGTTAAAAATAGTTCCTAGAGATTACTCTAGAACTAGATATTTTATTATTTTAGATTGTTCCGTAAACATTCCAGAGAACACAACTTAGTTTTCCTACTGTAGTTTTACTCTGCAATAATTGCCTTTTCTCTAATAATCTGTTTGCAAATGTTCACTCCTCTCTCTGAAAATCTGTTTTTTGTGGAAATATCAATTTTGGCTTTTACATTTTTCCACTCTCTTCTTTCCTCTTAAGGGAACAATTCATCCTCCTCTTTCTGCCAAAATGCAGTGCTGAATATTTTTAGTGTACCTTTTTTGTTACAGCCATAGCTATGCAGCCAGATTTATAAAGCTATTTAGGATAGTGACACAATTGTATTTTTAATGGGAAAATAAACAAGCTAAGGCAGAGGTTTTATGGCCCACCACATTAAATAGCCAAACTTCTGAAGTTTCTCATTTTAACTCATCCTAAAACTGTCTCCACTCACCACTAATGCAAGTGTTTGTTATCTATCACCTTCTTTATCAACATGAAAATAGTGTCTTTGGAGCTTGCTAGCAGATACCATTCTTAGAAAATGGTCATCATGTTGTTGGTATTTCTTCAGACCTGGGCTGACATTTCAAATATCCCACCCCATTTTCTGGAACAAGCAGACCACACCATTTTCCAAAATTAATCCAAAGACAATAGCCAACCAAGGGAGCATTCGGTTCAAGTTCAATGTAACTGCAAAAGAAAACAGAACAAATTTATCACCATTTAAGAAGATTAGAGAAACCATATGAGAATTCAAGTTAATTTGCATGAGTAAGAAATCACAGAAATCTCTTAAAAGTCTGCATTCTAAAGCCATGCAAAAATTAACATAAAATTTTCATCTTCCGGACACACAGAATTCTACTTTATGTTTCAATGATTCACAAGGAGTTGCCTGAAATTCTAACTGATGGATCTGATAGATGTAATACAGTATATACACAAAGAGATGATGGTGAGATAAGAAGTGCTTTTTCTTTTTTTAATGAAGTGTTTGGTTTCATTTGCTTTCTATTAAAGTCTAAATAACACGTATCTGATACCGATTAACAAAACCAGCAATAGTAATGACTTCTGTAACATCTGCATTCTCTCACATACATTCTATACAAATAACATAGTAAGAAAAAAGCAAAAACATACCTCTAACGGCCTGAGAGTTTGATATCAAGACAAACACTTTTATAAACGCAAGGCACAAAGGCGTATAGTCATGTTCCCAAATAACAGCTGGAATTAGCAAAAGCTTTCCATAGCTGGACAATAGCAGTGCTTTGAGAAGTAAAATGAAGTCAGATTTTGTTTTCAACATCTCGGGTCTCATCCACCATAAGGCAATAAAAATGCCAAGCAAAAACGAAGTTAGTTCTAGGAGGAAATAAGAGTTGGAAAGAAAGAATGAAGTCCCAAGATCAAGTCCTTTTTTCAGTGAATTTTAGTGAAATTATGTGTCCCAAATGCAACTAAGCCACTGCCATTTAAAAGACATATGCAAACATGAACATGTCCTCCATCGCTTGTGTTCATTCCTGATATTCAAAATAATTCTATCACAGAATTCTGTGTGTAGGATTGTCATACTTGTAATTTCTAACATTGTACAGCCCAGAAAGCTTAGCATATGAACTTCCTTTAATTTTCCTTTGTAACAAAAAGAGCGAGGTTTTGTTTTTTTTTTTCAATTGTCTGTTGGCCCGTAAGACAAAATTAATACTTTTCCTTTTTGAAAAGGTCACCAGCAACGAACCTTTTCCATCCAGCAAGAGAAAGAACACTATAGCAAAAATCTCATTGAGCTATTACTTTTTTTGACACTGCATCCCTGCATAACACTGGTATTAATGCAGATGTCAAAGTAACTCTCAGACTAATTACTCCACCATGTTTACTGACCTGTTATGAAAGACTACTCAGAGCAACACTAGACAATAAATGACTGAAGTTAAACTCTGAACGTCTAAGGAAAATACTGGTTTTAGTCTGCAAGCTTGTTTTAAACTCCAGCAGCATAAAAAAAAAAAACACCGAGAAGTATTAACTGAGATAAAACAAAACCCCTCTCCTACCTTCAAATCTAGTCTTGCAGCACAGAAGTATTTACTCTCTACCAGTGATGACACTGCTCTGTATCTTTATGTATTCATGTAAAAAAAAAAACAAACCCCAAAAAACCTTTTCCCGTTTACTGTTTACTTTTGTAAGCATCATCCTTAATGTTGCATCACCTTAATGAATAATAAACCTTGGAGTCATCATGAAATATGGAATAAGGCTGAGCTCTACACTGGCCTTCAAAAATATGTAAATGGATTCAGATGAAGATTTCTGAACATTGCCACTTTTCCGTGTTTTGGTATGTAATGCTTATCATATCAGTCTGAACTGTAATCAGGGTTGAAATATGTATTTGCATTAAATGAAGGCAAATGAGAGAGTATGTGTATAATCGTTTAACCGTACTGGGTGGGACACGATATCCATTCTGTATTAATTTTTGCAATACAGGCTTAATGAAAGACTCATGAAATTATTCAATGCTTAAAGAGCAGTTGCATGAACTCATCATCAATCTTACCTAAAGAAGCTATACCAAACATTCTATAAAAATCCCATTCCTTGGCATATCTGATTAAGTCATCAGGATCTATATTTTGGCTTGAATCCTGTAGTTGTAACCACCTGAGATAAGCCTCACAGAGCAAACAAAATATGCAGAGCTTCCCATGAATCTGGTAAATGAAAGAATAATAAAAGCATATGTATTAAATCAGCATAAATTGAAGTATTAGTATTAAAATGGTATTTAAAATACATTTCTACATCTCCACACAAACAAGCTCTGTAGGTTTATTATTTTTGTTCAAACATACAAGCAAATTTCTTCTGTTGAGCCACTAGTTTAGCACAACATCCTTTTAGCATAAATTAACATGATAAAGTCAGTTAGAGAAGGTAGGAAATTACATGAACAGTTCCATACAGAGGAAAGCATATAACTGTAGTTTGTAAAGATTGCTCTATACTTTTTTTTTTAAATTGGGAAGGGTGTTTCAGATCGGAGTATAAAAACAAAATTGTGGCATAGCTAGCAGAACGATACTATAGTATAGAAACTTCTAGAACTATAGAAAATTTTAGTCTCAGGGCAACTACTCCCTTCAGTGAACTGGTTTAAATAGCCTTGTTTCTGTGTTCCCTGGGACAGTCTCCATCAGAAGAAACTGGTAGTGCCAAAAACATTTCTTAGTTCAGAAAAGGGTGAAGAACCAAAAATAAATGGAGCAATACAACTAAATAAAACTCGTAAGTATCCTCTAAAGTGACTGCAAAAATGATGTTGTGAGGGTCCACAGTTACCATGTTTCCATATTCCATGTTTCTCACAGAGTGTGAGCCAGTGTGTATGGGTGTGAATCCTGATTTTATAGAGATTTAAATAAACCAATGCAATTTCTGTGCGTGGATTCTACTTTTTCCATTAGAGACTAGTTATGCCAATTGCACATGCATGCATAGGCTAAGGCAGTTTAAAATTCAACTCAATTTATTTGAATAGACAAAATTTCCACAGATGGGATAGTCCTTCCAGAAGCCTCATGGAAAACATCATTACCAGTTTCTGGAAGCACTGAATTCATAAAAACCTTTAGTCAGATTTATGCTTGAAATACGAGGTGAGTGTATCTATCTACATTGCTTAACACTGGACTGGCCAAGAAGTATCACCATGAACACCGCATACACTTATGCTTGGATAATTTGCTCTAGATTAGATTCCCTCTCCTGGCAAATCAATCCTTAAAGTAAAAATATGCAATTCTGTCAGAAAAGCTACACCTCTATACTCCAGACAGGCCAGCACAACTCAGTTGACTACGTAACACTGCATCAACAACACTTCATGGGAAAGTCGCTATCTTTTGCTATAGTTTTGAAGACATAGTCAGGAGAAAACGCGTGAAAAATTAGTACAGTAGGTTTAATTGGCATACTATTGTTAATATGGTATGTTATGCTACTATAGCTCATTTCAAAAAGAACTGTTTCCAACAGAAATTTATGTTGGAAATGAACTTAAAATTAGACCTTTCTTCCAATTAGTCCAATTAGGACTCCCTCTAACATGTAGGATGGTATTGTGGTATCACTACTGAGGAGACAGTAACTTTCTTAGTAATATGTGGAGTTTGAGACTTCATGTGTTCTATCCACAATATTAGACCCTTAACCTGTTCGAGAACAAAACTGATTCAGCTTGATGGAACCTGTGGAAGAGCAGAAGAACAGTTCCTAAAATTTTACAGCTATTACAATCAACTTACCAAACCTAAACGTATCTTTAAACAACAACAAAAAAAAAGTCACAGGGTAGGGAAGTAGCAACTTACATTTATCTTTGTATTGAAAAGAATGTGCCTATATGCTTGTGCTTTACATAAAACAGCATTGATCAAGATGATAACAGGATCATACTCAATGTATTTGTCCACAGGTTTCTGGCAGGATTTCTGAAAGTCACAAAATGATAAGAATTAGGAAAAAAAAATGAAAGAGAAAGCAAGCATTTATTAAATGTTCCTCTATGCTTAGCACAATTGTATAAATCCAAAGTACCTATTCAATGCTTATTAGTCTTTCCTTAACGTAATCTTTATTTTCAATAGGTTTTTAGTTTATCCAGAAAAATTGCTTCCCTCCTTTGACGCTACAGTTGACACAAGGATTTCCCTTACAAAACATAAAGATACGTTATTGATTTTTATAGGCTTCAGATTAACAGAGATAATAAACTATGCAAGGATGTACTTGATTATCATTCTGTGTCCTACAGATGCAAAAAATGCAAATTGCCTTCCCAACACTGAAGAAATGCACCAGTATCTTGTTAAAGGTTATCTGATCATGGCCTATCTAACTGGATATTTTGGTATTTTTTTGGAAAGAGAATTAATTTATTTTATCAATTCCTTCTTTTAAAAGAGATGCTTTATCCTCCTAGCCTACCTTTCTCCCCCTTTCAAGAAAAAAGTAAATGTCTTTTTTTTCCTGTTTCTTGGTCTTGCATACTGGTAAGCGGTCCATATGTTTCAATTCATTTTCCATTATTGAACAGACACCAATATATAGAATATTAGAATACTGAGAATGTAGTTTTCACACACATTTCACACACAGATACAGCAGCCCAAGAGTCAGAAGTTGCTACTGAACGGTGGCAAGACACTAGACCTCTACTTCTCCAATACATCTGCTGGTTCCTGCTGTGCCTGCTAGAGAGGTTATTTCACTCAGACCACTGCCTGTCATCAACCCCCTTCAGATTTATTGACTTACCTGCATGGCTGGTCACTCCTTGACTTAAATGAGGGAGGCTAACAAAAGGCTATTATACTAGCTGTGAACAGGACAGTTAACTAAGTCTTACAGAAGGCTCATCGAGCAGACCTGAGGGGGAAGTAACTCCTAGCAGAAAGCTGAGGAGCAGCAGCAGCTGATCACAGCAACCCCTTCGCCTCAAACAAGTGCACTTGCAGAAGGGCGCTCGCCCGCAGGTCACCTTTCTCCTGCTGATGATCCTCCAGCTCAGCTACTTGTTTCCTCCAGCCTGTCCTCGGCTAATCCCACTCCCCGGGGCCTTCACGTTAGCTGCCATGCTGAGAGTACAAGGGTCACAGAAACGATCTCTATTTCCATCTTAATGAGTACAAGGCTATGCATTGCCAGAAGAGAAATCTAGGCACACAGCTTTCTGAAATGCTCTAACAGTCAAAAATGCAGCATTAGACAGGCACATCCCTACAGACAAACTCCTAGGAAAGAACAAAAAGTTTTTTTCAGTTTTATAGGGATTCCTTGTCTCCAAAGTTAACTTTGCCTTGCTATTTACCAGATTTATTATTGGAGAATTTCAGAAGCAAAATTTCACTATCAAACTGACTCAAAAATCCAATATCCATATAAAGAAAAACATCCAAACAAACGCCTAAGTTGAATAGAGTGTCTAAGGAATGTTCCTACCACTAATCAGTGCCTTTTGGTCCAGCTCAAGAGAAAAACCTAACAAACTCATTTGGATTAGAAAAGAAAATACTGTGTATGACAGTACACAGGTTAGAAATAATGAATTCAAAAATTGACTCAATTAACCAACAGTTTAATGGGTCTAAAATTAAAGTGAAAGAGATGGAAGAAAGGACATAATTAACAGAAGACCACAGCTACAGCATTTAATAAGAGTGAAAAAGAAATTGCAACTATAATTAAAGGCAGTGTCTTGCTTCATTTCCTTCTACAGGGAAATAATGAACAGATATTCTTATAGGTAGTAATTTACATATATCAAATCTCTGGGTTGATGTAGCACAGGGAAAGTCCATTTTTTTTTATAGGCTTATTCACACAAGCACTGGACAAGCACAAACAAAAGATTATTCTTGAACACAATGGATGTCATAAAGGTTAGCTTAAGGATATCCTACATAACCCGGGATTTATGCTCTCAAATTTTCCTACAACAGAGTATTTTTTGACCAGGGTCAAAAATCCAAGATGACTAAACAATGATCTTTTCAAGTGAATGGTCTCAACCAAACACCAATCAAAAAACCTGCAGTTAAGAGGTACTGAAAAATTTTCACTGATAGCTAACATGAATTTTAGACAACTAAAATGTATCAGACCAACCCTCAGGCAAAACCAATGATACAAAAATTCTACTGCAGATATCTAAGGAGACTGCTACAAATACATTACACAAATAATGGTGTTACCCTTCTGCCCCACATCTTCTCGCAGCCACAACCAGATCTTCAGCAGCTGTGAGAATGATGTTTAATTCAGTATTTCAGCATACCACCATCAAACATTTAAGAATCCCATTTCTCTTGTGTTACTTCAACAGCAAAAGAAAATCTGACATATCACAAAAACACATCCATCTTCAAGGACTTTTCACACACACACATTCATGTCTGCCTGTCTTTAAAGCTAGATGAGAGCCCTATTCTTAATATACTTTATTTCTATTTGAGTCTCAACTGGATGAGGGGAAAGCCCTTTGTGCTTATTCAGCCAGTGACCTAACTAGCACGAGTTCATTCAGGGACTGTGGGACCCACAAACCACCTTACTGCAAAAGACTTGCGTGTGCAATGCCATAGACTAATTGGACAAAATGAAGATGACATTTGTTGTACCATGAGAACATCACAGAATTAATAGACCCTCTAGGATGAAATTTTCTCCATACCTAGCTTTTTTGTTACTTTTTCCAGCTGTACAGCTAAAACATCTGCCACTAATCTCAAACACTTATGAAGGAAACTTATGACTAAAGCCCTGACTTCAGCAAAATCAATGCATGCAAGGGTTAGTGCAGTTTAAGTACACATAGGTTTAACTAGATAGCTTTAGTGATTAGTGATGGCCTGTATCAGAAATGGTGTGGCCAGCAGGAGCAGGGCAGTGATTGTGCCCCTGAACTCGGCACTGGTGAGATCACACCTCAAATCCTGTGTTCAGTTTTGGGCCCCTCACTACAAGAAGGATGTTGAGGTGCTGGAGCGTGTCCAGAGAAGGGCAACAAAACTGGTGAGGGGTCTGGAGAACAAATCTTATGAGGAGCAGCTGAGGAAATTGGGGTTGTTTAGTCTGGAGAAGAGGAGGCTGAGGGGAGATCTTATGACTCTCTACAACTACCTGAAAGGGGGTTGTGGTGAGGTGGGTGTTGGTCTCTTCTCCCAAATAACTAGCAACAGAATTAGAGGAAATGGCTTCAAGTTGCACCAGGGGAGGTTTAGATTAGATATTAGAAAAAATTTCTTTACTGAATGAGTGGTCAAGCATTGGAACAGGCTGCCCAGGGACGTGGTAGAGTCACCATCTCTGGAGGTATTCAAAAAACGTGTGGACATGGCACTTCAGGACATGGTTTAGGGGGCATGGTGGTGTTGGGCTGATGGTTCGACTTGATGATCTTAAAGGTCTTTTCCAACCTTAATGATTCTGTGAACTTTACAGACATCAAGAATCACTAACACTTTCAGAGAAGATCAGTATGAGTGGCTCAGGTGTGCAGAACTGCTCGCATGCCTACTAGTCAGGCAGCTGAGAGCGAACTGAGAGACTGCTGCTCACGTCTCATTCCCAATTGCTGTTCTGCACAGCTGTAGCCAATACCCTGTTCAGCATGACTGAAGGTGGCACATCTTTAACAAAACCAAGCTTTGTCAATCTTCTTTGGGCTTTCTCAAAGAAATGTCTCAGTTATCACCACCACTTCTAAAATGCTAAGAAGAAGTAAATGGATTTCTCTATGTTTTTAACCAGCTTTTAATTTCTTCCTTAAGTATGTAACTGACATCAGAAACAGGAAATAACTAGTATCTTACTTTGAAAAAAATAAACATTACCTTGCTTAAAAGACACTTTCATGTTATGCTGCAGAAGAGAAAGGTCAAGCTTGTCACCATAAATTGTATTTACGCATCTTCTTCTAAAACAGCAAATTTAAGGAAAATTATGAATGTTTGATACTAACATACAGAAGTCCCATAGATTCTATGCTCCCATAAAAAGGTGTTGAATGTATTTCGATATTCTAATGAATTTAAATGAATATTCATTTATGAATTGTTTGACTAGTTTAATATTTAGGAATATTTGACTATGCTTGTCTGTTGTTTCAAAAAAAAAAAAAGCAGCTTCAATTTCTATAACATAGAAATTTGCTTAGTTATCTAAAAAAAAAATTTAAAAAGGTGCAAAAGCAGCTTTAAGAAAAAAAAGAAATTACAACCATGTTCTTCACAGTGTAGCATATCAGATTCTTTCTGATTGAAGAAATCCAAAACAGTTAAGGAAAGTAACATATATTTTAACATCTCAGTTGTATTAAATAAGACAAAAGAAGTAATGAAATGTCAACTCTAATTGCATGTTTATCAGCCTTTTATAAAACATACCTCTTCTTTGTTTATCAAAGATACTCAACTGCCAACACAGTTCAGAAACGTATGCCAAATACAATACAGTGTACAAATATTTGAGGAAACACCTACTGTCACTCAAGGGAAAAGTTCCTAAAGTATATGAACATGACTTCTTTAAACTGCTCTCTCCAACATTAAAACATAACTGAATTTTAAAGTAAAAGTATTTTGGGATGGGGGTGGCAGAAGGGAACAATGTTCTTGAAGAGCCACAGGACACTGGAGAAAATAAAAATACACATTGAATAACTAGGCTTCATCCTGAACTAAACCAACATGAAAACACCAGGAAAATGTTCGTAAATCTCTGGATATTAGAAAAAACAGTGAAACAGTCTCATTTTAGTGTTTCTTTCTCCAAGGTTTGGAGTTTGGCAAAACTAAGCCACAGTTTTTTGCTGGACAAATTTTAACATTTACATAGATTCAACATGAGCATAGGTCCATTTACAGGTTCATAGGGCAGACTAACACAGACCCATCATCTTGCCAGACTGCCCTTAATCCCAGTTGACCCTTAAACAATAAAATGTAATTAGCTGTGCTGCTTTCAGGAATGGGTTCTTTATTAGGGATGCGGCTAAGTGTCATAGTAAGCTGAAAAACAAAACAGCCCAGTTTTAGATGCACTCCATTTCAGAAACCTGAAATTAAAAAAATTGTATTATAATTTTTTCCCTATATGATACATCTTCCAGTTGTGAGTTGGTCTGTAGATTGAGTTATGCAAATAAGAACAATAACATATATATTCCAGGATGATCTTTGTACTCGACAGATTCTTTACCTTACCATATAAATGCTTTGCATTCAAAGCATTTACAGTCTCTCTGCCTTGCTCCAATAAAAGAGCTTTTCAATTATTTTTTAATTGCAGAAAAGCTAAATGAAGTGTGCACTGCTCAGGCAATTTGGTTTTCTTATTACAAGATGCAAGGGGGATCCTGATCAAGCTCTACATATTGCAATGAATAATTTCTTTCCCTTTGTCTGGGTCTTGAACAATTAACATTTTTTGAAACCTGAATTTTAAACACAACACCATTACATAATTTAAAACCAAATTAATAAACAAATGCATGTTTTTCCTTCTATTTTTGAATAAGTCAAGTTTGCTAATTTCCTTTTATATTCATTGCACTTTGACTGGAGAATTTATTCCAAGTTAGCCAAATGTGTTCGCCGTTCCCCAGCAATAATACTGCAGTGGTAATGTTAGCTGCACAGTACTTTTTGTTACTGTTGTTAATGGTTGGTTCGTAATATATTCAGTGAAGATTTGCTGTATTACTTACAGATCATTTAAGTTTTAAGGATCTCAAAATAATTAACAAAAATCTCCTCTATAAA